TGAATTGCTAATCAGTACAACTGTCCAGAAATAGGACATCCATGTCTAATGAGATTGTCCATGATGGATCTGTCCACTACACACTATGACTGATCTCTGTGGATTATCAATTCCATGAAGTGTTTCAGCCTGTTGGTGAGCACTTCTGAAAGAAGTTTGTAATCAATGCACAATAAAGTTACTGGTCTCCAGTTCTTTAGCAAAGCCAAGTCTCCTTTTTTGGGCAGCAGTGAAAGAACTGCATGCCTACAGGATGCTGGTAACAGGCCTGTCTGAGCACCTCCCAAACACTTCCAGAAGTGCTTTTAAAAGTCTGCAGGCAGTCCGTCCAGTCCAGGAGCTCTAACAGGAGCCATCTGAGCCACAGCAGCAGTGAGCTCCTCCAGGGAGATGTTAGCGTCCAGGACAGCTCTGTCTTCAGAGCCCAGCTGTGTTTTCTCATCTTAATTGGGTCAGTCGGCACTGCACCGTCAGGGAGGGGGAGGCAGACATTTGTCTGGATACAAGAGACGGACTTCTCCAGGTTAAACAAGAAGGAGGTAGGAGCATCCATGTCTCTGTTGCTGGTGAACCATGACCTGACCAAAGCCCCTTTAACTCTCTGGCGTAAGAATTAACTTAATTCCTGTTTTCTTCTGTTGAAGTCTGTGATTGTCTGTGCTGCTATGAGTGAGTAGAATATTTTCTAAATCCCTATTTTCTGTTTCTAAATCCTGAATGACCCTTTTGACTGTTAGTGTGGAATGACTTGCGTATTGTTGACAGAAAACCCTTATGTGTGCCTTGCCCACTTCCCACCACTGACTTAGGGACTCAGATTCCCCAGAAGGTCAGAAGGACAGAAAGCTTGGTCCTGAAAAAGCTGCACATTGCAGTGCCAGTAAGAGCTGCATCTAGTGGTTGGTGAAGTGTGAAAATCTAAAGTGACTAAATGATGGTCAGTGAAACCTACTGGATATGTGGAATGTGACTGTTCAGTAACCTATTGCTAAAACCATTTATCATGTAAGCCCAGTCCAGCCTAGCCTGGCTGCCCTCACATTCCCACCAAACACCTAACCTGCCTAACCTGAGGATGTTTGAGCCTCCAAACATCTACTACACCTGACTCTGAAAACACTTCCAACACCCCCCAAACTCCTTCAACAACTAAGAGAGAGTATCTCCCTCCTGGAGCTGGACTTCACTGAGTTCATAGAGCTCACTTTGGCCAAGCAATCTGAGTCTGATACCACCCAAGAGCTAAAGCAAGACAGCCAGGAGGTCATACCAGAGCTAAGTAGGATCACCACCACAGAGCTGATGGAGACTCAGACAGCTGACACAGGCTGTAAGTGAGTTGGAGGAGGAGAACATCACCCTATGAGCTCACACCCTGAAAATAAAAGAGGATGCAGTGAACTGAGACTTGAGCTTCAGCAGAGAGCTGCAGGAGATGAGGGAGCACCTCCAGGAGAAGAGCTGTCATGTATCTCCACCCAATGAGACACGTCGCTGTCCCAACACCTTTCCTCTCCCCTGCTGCCAAACCACCAGCTCCCTCAAACACTGGCAACTCCCCCCTCCCACAGCCTTTACCCACCTCTACAGCTTGACATCCAGAACCTCCCCACCGACACATCCCTGCTACCCAATCCCCAGCAAAGCCAGAGGCCCAGGTGGACCTGCTCATGGACTCCAATGGAAAATACTTGGACACCAAACGCTACTTCCCTGGCCTCAACACCACGGCCATGCCATGAAGCTGCTTCAAAAGGAATCACTGGGGAGCGCCCAGTACATTATAGTGCATACAGGCACCAGTGACCTCCACACACTTCACCGGAGCACTGCTGAGGCCATGACCAAGGTGGCTGAGTGGGCCTCCAGGGAGTCCTGACAGCAAGGTGATTATTTCTACCCTTCTCCCCAGGACAGACACTCCTTCACATGTAATCCATGAGATCAACATGGAAATCTCAAGGAACTGTGCAGCCTTCCCAACCTGGGTGAAGGAGCATCAGCTCCTCTGGCAGCTTTATACACTGCATGCACAATTATTAGGCATGTTGAATTTTTGAGGATTAATTTTATTGTTGAACAAATACAGTGCTCTCGGTCAATCCAAAATGTTAATAAACCTCAAATCTGAATATTCAAGACAGTAAAAGTGAGTTTTTGGCTTTCTTAGGAGTATCCATTTGTGCAGAATTATTTGGCAGCTGCTAGTGTGCAGAATTATTATGCAACTATCTATCTNGATTCATTTTATTGTTGAACAAATACAGTGCTCTCGGTCAATCCAAAATGTTAATAAACCTCAAATCTGAATATTCAAGACAGTAAAAGTGAGTTTTTGGCTTTCTTAGGAGTATCCATTTGTGCAGAATTATTTGGCAGCTGCTAGTGTGCAGAATTATTATGCAACTAAATGAAAAACGAAAATTTTCCCATCTCACTTGTTTATTTTAATCTGTTAAAGTGAGAATAACAAACAAACAACTCCAAATTTACAAATAAACATTTCTGACATTTCCAAAAAAGAATTCAGCGACCAGTAGCCACCCTTCTTTTCAGTAACAGTCATAAGCCTTCCATCCATGGAGTCTGTCAGTTTCTTGATCTGTTGACGATCAATTTTTTGTGCAGCAGCAACCACAGCCTCCCAGATGCTGTTCTGAGAGGTGTATTGTCTTCCCTCACTGTAAATCTCCCACTTAAGAAGGGCCCACAAGTTCTCAATAGGGTTTAGGTCAGGTGAGGAAGGGGGCCATGTCATTATTCTTTCATCATTAAGGCCTTTGCTGGCTAGCCACGCAGTGGAGTATTTGGATGCATGCGATGGAGCATTGTCCTGCATAAAAATCATGGCCTTCTTGAAAGATTCAGATTTTTTCCTGTACTACTGCTTGAAGAAAGTGTCTTCTAAAAACTGGCAGTAGGTTTGGGAGTTGATTTTAAGTCCATCTTCAACCCGAAAAGGTCCAACTAGCTCATCCTTAATAATACCAGCCCATACCAGTACCCCACCTCCACCTTGCTGGCGTCTGATTCGAAGTGGAGCTCTGTGCCCGTTACTGATCCAGCCACGGGCCCATCCATCTGGTCCGTCAAGAGTCACTCTCATCTCATCAGTCCATAAAACCTTTGAAAAATCTGTCTTCAGCTATTTCTTGGCCCAGTCTTGACATTTCAACTTATGTGTCTTGTTTAATGGTGGTCGGATTTCAGCATTCCTTACCTTGGCCATGTCTCTGAGCACTGAACACCTTGTACTTCTGGACACTCCAGGTAGGTTGCAGTTCTGGAATATGACAGCACTGGAGGATAATGGGTTCCTGGTAGCTTCACGTTTGATTCTTCTCAAATCTTTAGCAGTTAATTTGCGTCTTTTTTTCTCAACCCGTTTCTTGCGACTTGATTGACTATTTGCAACAAAACGTTTGATGGTTCGGTGATCACGCCCCAATATCTTAGCAATTTCAAGAGTGCTGCATCCCTCTGAAAGGCTTTTTACAATTTTTGAACTTTCAGAGTCAGTTAAATCTCTTTTTCGGCCCATTTTGTCTGAGGATAAAGAACCTGCCTAATAATTATGCACACCTTGATATAGGGTGTTGATCTCTTTAGGCCACACCCTCCCTCATTACACAAATACACTTCACCTGATATGCTTAAATCCAATAAGCATTCAAGTTTATACAGCTTGGAGATGGAAAATATGCATAAAAATTATGATATGGTCAAAATACTCACTTGCCTAATAATTGTGCACACAGTGTATGTCTCTGCCTGCCACAGCCTGAGGGACTCACAATAACATCCCCATAAAAACACATCTGTATGATATTTAATGTATATAATATAAATGTATATAAATGTTTTTATAAAAATCAAAATCTGTATCAATATCCAACACGTTTAATAATTACTGTATTGTATGTATATTTTTATCATTTGTAAACTGCTTTGGCAATAACATGTTTTTGTTCATGCTAAGAGCTATTTTGAATTAGAATTTTGAATTTGACAGAGACAGAGATAGAGAGAGAAACAGAGAGAGAGAGGGAGACAAGGAGAGAGATAGAGACAGACACAGAGAGAGAGAGCTCGGTGAATCAATGCTCTGCTCAGCTCAGCAGTGAAATGAGGTTTAATTCACTTGAAATAGTGAAAAAACAGAAAATCAATATTCAAATTCAAATAAGCTTTATTGGCATGACAGATCAGAAACCTATATTGCCAAAGCGCTACAGAAAATTATAAACATTGACAGATAATTGATTAATGATTATATAATAATATGCTAAATCAAATGTAATGCAAAATCTAGACAATCAATATCTGGCATTCGATGTACAGTAGATAAATAAATCAGTGTATGGGAAACAGCGAAGATAGTAACTGAATCAGTATCACTGTTAAACAACTGACAAAACCAGAATAAAGCAGCATGAATTTCTCTCCACGGCCCAACAAGAATCACAACTATGAATCAATGAATTATGATTTGTCTTAAGTGTTAGAAGCAGGTTGAACTACTACTATCAGAAAATAGATCAATATGTTTCATAAGTTTAGATTGTATATGTTTACACAAGGAATAGTATAGAACATTATGACTTTATTGTTTATAAGAAATAAATATTTGTTAGTTTTCTGAAATGGAAATGGAGACAGGAGCTATTTCATCCCACCTATTTAGTTTTCTTTTGTTGTGACTCAGTGGATTGAATGTGAAAAATTTTTCTTTTCTCAGTTATTTAGAAATAAAATTATTAAATAGAGCTATTATATGTGTTAGAAAAGGGTTTGAATTGTTGTGTGTTGTGTGTCGTGAGTCTCATTGTGAGTATGACTGATATGGATGTGTATTGATGTATCTGTTGTTATTGAAGAATAGTAGACTCCAGGAAGAGGAGCCACTGTTACATGAGTGACAGATGAGGATCTAACTGAATAAATAATAAATAAATAAATCTGAAACAAACTGTGTGTGTGTGTGTGTGTCTGGGACTGACCAGTGTGACAGGTGCTGGTGGAGGTGGAGTTGGAGCAGGGACATGGAGCACAGGGTTCAGTTGGGGGGGTTCGGGTGTCGCGGAAGAAACCGGGTTTACACTCCTCACAGTTGGATCCCTGGGTGTTTCCCTCACAGTTCAGACACACTCCTGGAGGTCAGAGCAGAGGTCACATGTCAGAGGTCACACAGAGATCACATGATTAGACATATAACATGTTGATACAGCAGCACCAGGAAACATGTGACCAATGAAACCACTTTATATCCATGATGTCAGAGGAAGATTATTCTGAGTGTGGCAGATCGTCATTTCCTGTATCAACCTCTGAAACTCTGGATTTTTAGTATTATAACATTTATTTAATGAAGGAACCTTTAGTTTCTTTTAGCAGAGAATCTTCAGAACAATGCACGCACACACGCACACTCTTCTCCCAGCAATGGGAGGGGTGTGAAGTCAGAGGTTCTTCAACTACTTTTAAAGTGAGTAAAATAATCATCAACACCATGACTGAGTGATTTTATACCTCGAACTGCAGTGAATCAGTGACAGTGTAGCATGAACACCACAATTTAAAATTTGCTCTCGTTGAAAGGGGGTACCAGTCCTTAGGGAGGAGAACATTGAATTACTTAATTGATTAATGTGATCAATCTCATATCAGAAGCTGTGACTTCTCGATTCAATGGATGTCCAGTCTCTACTTCAAGAGAACAAAACAGGACAATAACTGGGTGTAAATGAATAAGTTTATTAACTAAACTACTATCTACAGTGTAAGTGCAACATGCATTTAACTTTACGTGGACCGTGTGACAAAGAAAGAAACTCTAATGTACCTAACTTTACTTGGACCATGTGAAAGAATAAAGAACGTGGACAAAACGATAAAATGCAAAATGGCTAAAAGCCGATGAGTTAGAGCCGGTGACTAAGAGCTGGGAGATAAGAGCTCTAACTAAGAGCTTAGAGCAATGAGTGAAATGATCACAACAGTCAGACCTTTCTGATCCGTCTGCTAGTCTCTGATTCTGGTCTCAACAGACTCCTCATCTCAGTCTGGGTCTGACTGAGGCTCAAATATGTGGCTGAGTCTCTCTGATGTTTCCTCCTCTAACCATCTTGATACTTTCAGCTCTTTCACCTGTCAATCTGGAGCAAGCAGGTGGTGGGCGGGGCTCAAGGCCTGATCCACATTCCTCAATCAGGAAGTAGGAAGAGATGAGCTTCAGACCCAGTTTAGTGTTTGAAAACATGTTAAACTACATATTAATCACAGAAGATGATTTTAGTTTAAATCATGTCTGGAGAGAGACTTTAATGAATAAATATATAAAAGAAATAATGGGAATGAAAATTCCATTGATAGCATCATCTAACAAATAATAAAAAAAAAAAACGGCTGCAGAATCAGAAATACTATTTCAATTGCTCTTCCACTAATGAATTAAAGATAATTAGTAAATGTAATTTAAGGTAAACACAAGAAACTTGTGCTACAGAAAATGGACCAGACTCAGTGAATAGCTCCCTAAGCTTAACATCCTAAATCCTATGATAAGTATTAATTTGGCTATACAGACTAATGAACAATGATAACTAACATGTCTTTGGGGTCATCAGGTGGGAACCTCCTTTCACCAGTGTTTCGTCTAGTTGGTCCCACGACACCTCCAGGAGGCTAGACAGTGATCACTGGCGTCCCAGAGTCACTCCCCTAATGCCAGCCATCACTGCTCCTCACACCACGACTATTTTCTCCTTTATCTTGCCTATGCTACCACAAACAACATCATCAACTCGGACAAAACACACTAGCAGATTCAGCTCCCCTAACCAGTTGGAGAAAGTGGCGGCCATTTTGACTGAGGGAGGTAGAGTCAAGGAGAGATGCCTTTTTGAGCTAAACTAAATTAATAGTAAATGAATCAATGACTGGTGTTCAATCTAGATTTTCTATTGTATGTATAAACTATAAATATATAAACAACAGAATATTACCTATAAATTAAGATATAGATTATGTAATTACATATGTTTTAGCCCCGAGTCTTGCCTGCAGGTCTCCCTCTCGGCTGTTTGAGACAGACTGTGTTGACTGAGGTGAAACTCTGAACTAATTACTGTCTGCAAACACTCTTTCTGAAACTCAGTGTTGGTGCGTTCGAGGACCCTGGGACATCTGAGATTCAGGAGCCACAGTAAGTTCCATCACATAAAGTTACCATAGTCTCTGCCTTGTTTAGTGATGATCTTGTCTGTTGTAATATTTTTAATATCTCTCCACTTTCATGAATAGTAATAATAAGTTATGAGTTATGTTTTGTTAGTAATTTTTTATTTTAAAAATGCCTATGGAAGAAAGTGTCTTTTTCCTCAGTTAAATCTTTATTCCAAGAAGAAATTATAGTCCAACAACAATCCTCTTAAAGGGGACATATTATGCTCCTTTTCGACAAGTTCAAATAAGTCTCAGACGTCCCCAAAACATGTCTTTGAAGTTTCTTGCTAAAAGATCCACTCCGATCCTATATTTCAGCATGCCTGTAAACCCCTCTGTTTCAGCCCTGTTCAGAACAGGTTGTTTCTGTGTCTGTAGCTTTAAATGCAAATGAGCTGTGCCTGACCACGCCCCTCTCCGGAAGGGGATGCGGCTTGGCCTCTGGCACCATGCTCTAATGTTTACTGTGACTGTGACCGGCGACCTGGCGTCGGAAGCGCTTTGGTTCAACCACACGACTTTTATCCAGAATATGACCCAGAGGGAGAGGCTGCTGAAGAAGTTCAAACTCTACAACTGCAGCAGAACGTTTCTGAATGGTTGGTAACCAATTTTGTGTATTTTGACTTTACATTTTCAGTTTGTTGATGTGTGCTGGCACATAGTTACTAACATGTAGCTAGGTAGCTAATGCTAACTGTTACTGTCTCGTCATTACTGGGAGCTCTTTTGGTAAATAAGCACTATTGTGAATTGTGTAATGTAGTTATCTGTCATGCCTCCTTAGATATACTTTTACAGTCTATGAAAATGTTTGTTGTATGTGGACTGCTACAGGTGTTCAATGTCAATACTAGTCAGATATTTTAATAGATGCTGACAAAGTAAATCATTTTGATTTTTATTAATTTTTCTCCATGTTTTGAGCAGAGATGCTCATCATAACATCTTCCTTTATGTAGTAAATTTATTTTGTGCATTACAATAAAAGCTGTAAATCAGCATAAACATGTCTGATAGCAACATTAATCTTTAGTCAAAGACTAAACTGTGCAGTTTTCTACACTACACTGTTGTCAAGCTCCACATTATATGCAATAAGTGACATGTTATAAATTACCTATGTTATATGCGCTTGATATGTAGCCAAGCTTACTTCTTACCCACCTTAGCTCCACTGTCTGTCAGTTTTTGAATTTCATAAGCTTTATATTCTGGTGAATGTTACCATTTTTCTCTATATTTTGGATAGGTGCTCCTGTGGAAACTGTGCAACCATGCCCACAGAAGCTGAGAATATCTGCTGCTAGGAGATACCACAGGTAGCATTCTCACTAGACAAACTAATCAGTAATTTGTTTCGATTACATTTATAATAAACCATAGCATTTACCATTTGTAATTCACTGTAGGTTACCAGACGGCTATGGGAGATCGAGGAAGATTTACCATGTATGGTAGGCCGTCCTGGGTTGGAGCCGCTCTGCCTCAATGTGTACTCCCTCCAGAATGCCTGCAACATGTACCGCGCTGACTACGGTACTTTACGGTTGAGAGGAATACACCAGTACATTTTGCTTCTTTGTAAAAACATAGTTTCAATGTAAATAAAAGATGTTAGGCAGTCTTGTTTTACTTCAGTGCACATAATTTTACAATGGTAATAACACACCACAAATGGAGTAACACACCCTCAAATAAATTAGTTTAGCTGCTCTTTGATTTGTAAAGTTTTTCTATCAGCAGATAGTGTGCATATAATATATGAATTCAGAGGAGTCATTTCTTTAGTAACGATCAAGCATTTATTTACATCAAATGAGGCACTTATAATCAGTGATAATAAAAAAGCTGTAGGATTCACTGGATCCATAAAAAAAATTGTGAGACACAACATAGATATGTTTGCAAGACTAAATGCCCTGTCCAGTTGTTTTAGTCGGTACAGGTATCTAGCCTATAGGAGCTTTATGGGCTGGTGCTGGGGCTTCCTTGGTCGCAGAATCTGGGTCGTCATTCCAGCCTGCCTGGTCCTACGCATCAGTGCCGAGTTTCCTGACGCCACAGGCCAGTACGTGGGTTTCAGACTGCCCCATGATAGAACCGGGACACATAGCTGGATATGACCTACTCCTTCTCAGGCCGCTCGAACTGTGCAGTGAGGTCCTCTGGGATGGGGATGGCCAAAGCAGCTTCTGTGTATGGTCCCAGGTCAAAAAAGACTTTTTCAAATATGAGGTCCACCACATTCCCTGTTTGATAAAACACAAAAGATTTTGTTTACATTTTTCACTTTTTTGTTTTTTTTTTACAAAACAATGACTGAAAGTCTGTTTCTAACTACCTCCTGACATTTTCTTTACTGTATTTTGTTGTTGGTGGAACTGTCATAACATTATACGTGCAATACTTAATACAATGTGTACAAAACATTTTTTGGTTGAAAAATAAAATAATATAACACTTATAGAATGTCGGCTCAGTCTTAACTGGTGTAGCTCTGCATTCTCCCTTCATGGCCTTTGGAAATTGGACCTTGAACAGTGGTTCACCTTCTTTTGTTTGGGCTTGTGGTTGGTCAGCATTTTCATTGTAGTACATGGCAGCCAGGTAGAGTCTGGAGGTACAGTAAAGAGAAAATCAAAGATGTTAATGTTGACAGAAACCTTAGCCTACACACTCTCACAAGTTCTAAGTAACCACAGCTTCATTTACCTGCACAGCATTCCAAGACTGATAAATGACTGTTAGGTTTATCAAAAGTAGATGCACTTCAGATGGCTACAGACCTGTACTTCTGATGTGAGGCTGAAGAGTCCTCAAGCATAACTGTGTGCCTACAGTCAGTCAGTCTGGCATGCAACATCCCTTGTTGCAGGAAGCTGTATGATGCACTTGATGTGCTGACCTGAACAGAGGAAACAGAGGTTACACCAACATCTCCTCAAATGTGTAGTTATGGCAACAGCCGCAAGCAGTGCAAAAATGATAACAACAAATGCACTCAATTGTGTGTAAACTGGGTTGTCAATAGCTTATAAATGCTGCAAATAGCTCACTATATGTGCAAAACGCAAGAAATGTGTATTACAGACTATCCCCTTTCACATATTCCCTGTAACTCTGCGCTTATCTAGATATTTCCCACAGGCACTGTATCTGTAAACATGATATAAACGTTAAAACAGCCATCATAAGGCATGACTCTCAATACTAACTTTCACAGCACTAACAAACAAGCCCAGACACCTATGCTAATCGCTGCAAAGCCTGTTTAGTCTGAATTTTACTGGCTTGACTTTACAGACAGCTAAAACGCCTTTCAAGTGTGATAAAGTTAGCAGGTTGGCTCTAATCAACGTCACACAGCGATACCAAGCAGCAGAATTGCATACAATCTGTACCCGGCTATACCCGGCTGTGTGGACGAGGCAAAACGTTAGCCACATTAGCTGCCATGCTAACAACACACGCAACAGGCTCTCGTGTACATACAGTAAAGCTACATAAAATGGTGAAACTTACAGCTCCCAAGTTTGAAGTTGGGTCTCGGACAGTCGGTGTTGATCCATGCTTTATCTTCAGAATGTAGCGAATCCCGCATTGTACTGTCACTCGTTGAGAAAGCAGTCCGACGTGAAATAGCCCGCTACAACTCCTAAAGTGTCCATCAAAAATAAAATAAAACAAATCCACTGGGTCTTCAGATCCTCGGACGTAGGGGGTAAAAAGACTTCTGTGTTGGTTTGTACAGTCAACAACCGAGCAACTAGCGTGCATCACTTGTACCTTCGACACAGTTTTACCGGAGCCGTGATGCAAGGGAATAAACGATAGCTGCTGCAAGGCGGACTCAGAAGGCGGAACACACACCTAGCTCGGGGAGTGTCACCCACCTGGGGGGAGGTGGCATCTCCCTTCATGACGACATCAAGGGAAAATCTCCAATTGGCCTGTGTGAGCACACATTTTCTGAAAGGTGGCGCAAGCAAAAGATGGAGAGGATGGACTTTTCTCATGTTTGGGGGGTTTGTAGACAGGCCGGGGACACATATTACTGATAGAAAACCACGGAAAAGTGCATTTTGCATAATACGTCCCCTTTAAACAAGGCAGTTAAAGTTTAATTGTTTAACTATTAAACAGAACAAAAAAGATATGCAGCACTCCCAATGGCAGAGAACCCTGAGGCTTCACAAATAACAAGGATTCCACGTGATCGACAAAATTCTTAACAATTGATTATCAATCATCGATTAATCATTCCCACCCCTAGTTGTAATTATTGTAAATATCGGTGCAGGTGTTTCCACCATGGTGCTGTTGGTGGTTGAGCCTGTGAGTGAGTCAAAGTTGCAACATCAAACTGTGATGAGAAACTACTCTGGGTGAATGAGGCTAAATTAAAGCCTATACTTACTATCCAAAATTGATGCAATACTCCCCCAACAACCCCACATTGTAGAGCAGGTTCACAGGTAAACATTAAATCTTTGGACTCTGTTCTTCAGTCTTTATTGTTCCAGTTGGATACAGTGAGTCAGAGCTGGGACAGTCTGCCTGTATCCTGTTGGATAATTTGCATTTGCACAGTGAGGAGAGGCCAGAGCACCTTCCTTCCTTCTCAAGCCTGTCACTGGAGGTTTTTGAGTCTTTAAGTGCTGGGGAGTGACATGTGATCCAGGACTCAGAGGAGCAGAAATCCACCTCACATCTCACCAGCCAGACTAGAGACTGGATCTGTTTTATTTTACAGTTTCCTTCTTACCAACTGAACATGACTCTTCAGTTGTTCCTCAGTAAATATTTACTTCAGACAAACAGAGGTTTGTGTACTGCCAGGGTCTTTAATTAAACACAGTGTGTAATTGTCAGGGTTTAGCACCAAGGTGTTAAACTGCACTTAATGAGCATTTCATTGGCAGACACTGAACCTCTAAGCTTCAGCTTTCTTATTCAAAGTCCATTTGAAAAGAGACGACATAATAAAACTAGAAAATTCCAGGGAAAGTTTGAGTCCCACGGGGGCTACTGCCGGGATGAGTACATGATTTATTTCCAGTGTTCAAAAGTCACCCTGATCATATTCTGGTTTTGAGAAATGTCTTGATATAAAAGACTCTGATATAAAACAATGTCACATCTCTCCATCATGTATTATGTGGGAAATATCTCATATTCTGTGTTGTTTTTTTTAATAAAACAAGAGGCAACATGTCTTCAAACTGGCATTTAAAGGGTTAAAATCCTGAAAACTAATAAACATTTGGTAGGTTTGAGCAGAACTGAAGTGGTTTAAGAGATGTATGCAAAAAAAAAGCAGAAAAAAATATTGATATATGATGATTTTATAGCATTTTCTTTGGGTGTCCTTTTTTGGACGCGAGGAACCCCAGAGGATACAAAATGTGTTACCAGTGTATAATAGACCTGTAACAGCAACTGACATTAGATTTTAAAAATATGTCAAAAAAGACACTTTCTTGCAGAAATCTATACCTTCAGCTGTAACACAGCCAAAATGATCAGCAAATCAAAAAAGAAAAGTGAAGAAAATGTCCAAAAAAGGACAGAGGGACCCCTGAGGGTTAATAAATCCCATGAATCGCTATTTAAATTACCACTATTAAGTTTTTTTCGGTGCTAAATTTAACGTTACTGGGGAGGAGAGCAACGCGACTAGAAGTGACAGCGAGAGAGGGCTAGTAGCTTCTCCTCTCCTCTGTCTCAGCGGAGACCGTCACAACTTCATTCACTCATTTAACAAAACAAAAAGAAAAGCAACAAAGGAAGCAGTAAATGGACTTACATATTTAAGACCTAACTAAATGTAATTTAAGACCTAACATGCGGCTAATGTAAAGCTAGCGGAGCTTGGAGAGTTGGTTATCTGGTTGCTAGGCACGCACACACGCACACAGGTCAGGAGCTGCCGTTGCCATGGCAATGTGAAAATCTGCCCAGAATTTGGCTTCTACATGGCTTAAAACAATTGCAAATTATGAGAAAACCGTTACTTCTTTTCAAAAACCGAAAACACCGTGACAGACACTGAAGCCAGAAGTTTCTTACAGTCTCTATTTTATTCAGATATTCCTTAAAATGAGTGAGTAAGCTCAGTGCGAAGACAGAGTGAGATTCTTTTGAAAAAAAAAGACGATTACATTAGGTGTCAATGAGAGTGAGACAGGTATTGCTGCCGGACTCGGCACCCCTGTTTAAATTTTGTGCAGACCCTGCCTGTCAAAGTTACATTTTATGAATCCTAACAACTATGTCTACATTTTGAGAAAGAATTATTTGTCTCCTTTTTACGGTTTGGCCGTGAGCTCGAGTTAAAAATAAAAATAAAGGTTATTTTTTACTGCTTCACGCACTCTAACTAACTGATGCAAAAACAGTTGTTGTGTTTTGGAGAGAGCAGAAGTTTTCCTCCGTTTTATAGTTTGAATCACATTTCTACGTGCAGGTATGAGAGAGTTGGGTGACTCAGAAAAAAGGTGAAATTTTGTAGAAAAAAGGTGAAATTTTGTGGGTTTTTAAAGAAAATTCAAATGCATTCCTAATGCATTATTATTCCCAGTATTTTGGGAATAACTTTGGGAAAAATTGGAATTTTAACACCAAAAGTCATAGCACCTCTTTCGGGATCAAGACGCACGTTTTGATGTATATATTACCGGGGTTTTCTCAAAGCTGCGGGACGAGTTATGCGCCAAAATTTGGCGGAAGAATAATAATAAGCCCAAAGGAATATTAATAGATGGGGATCTGCCCCGAAGCACTCCTCTCAGCTATTCTAGCTGTAGAGGAGTGCCTCGGAGCTGAGCACCCGTGGCACTAATAATTATACAGTGAGCGTCCATTGATAAGAGCAGACAGCCTGTAAATGATCAGAGTGATTACCGGACTGTGGGTGGCAGTAGCTGGTGTGGTTGTGACACTGGCAGGGTCGGCAGCCAGTACTGCTGAAGTGGAAGAACCCCGGATGGCACTCATCACACTTGGGTCCATACACTCCCGTCTTGCACACACAAATCCCTGAGCTGGAAGAGGCAGAAAAAAGACAAACTCAATACAACAGTTCAATAAAAGAGCGTTTTCATCTCATACCTGCCTGCTGTGCAGCCTCAGCCTCAAACAGGCAACATTTTTTTTCCTTGAAGCGTATCAGGTCCCTTTTAATGCAAGAGAGCGTCAGTGGAGCTGTGTGTGTTAGGAGCAGTCGTGAGATGACGTCCAGACTCTGGTGCTGATTTCACACTTGACTTCCTGCATGTTCTCCATCCCTCCATCTGCTTCTACAGCTCTGCTCCAGGTATGACGCATGTGGGAAGCACCTGCTCCAGTTCAGAGTCGTCCAGACCATTCGTACAGTGTCTTAGTATTAAAACACCTGGCCTCCACACCACCAGGTCTCATCACTCAAACTGTATATCCTTCCCTCATTCCTCATTTGAGGCATGCACACAGTGTAGGTGAGTGGTCATGTGATATGTGCTTCAGGTGTATTTATATGGACAGAGATTACTTCTGATGCAGAGTTAAAACTTTCAGATGGATGGAAAAAAGTATTAATGCGGACATTGTTTCTCCACTGACAAGTTTGTTGTAAATTTTTCCTTAGAAATAAGATAAAAAGATGTCTTATTCCTATTAAGGCATCGTCTGCCAGAGGCTTTACTGACCAGCCTTTTGCTGACAACTCCAGCCTTAACAGGACCCTCAAATCTGGTTTCCTGAACATTAAATCACTGTCCAGTAAAGCATTACTAATAAATGACTTGATTCTTGAGCATAAGCTGGATATGAGTGTCAGTCCAGTTTTAGTCTGGAAGCATTTGGCTGTTAATTTCAGTTTGTTATTCTACCTGACACAGAAACACACAGGCAGACAGACACAGACAGGTAGACAAAGAGGCAGGCAGACACACACACACACAGACACAGACAGAAGGCTGTTGATAAGTTAGAACTCACTGGACAGAACAACAGTAAATACAGCAGAATATTGAATTTCACCTGCTCAAATGGTGTTATAGATTCTCCTTTTACTTTCCTTCAGTTGTTAACTACTCCTGCACTCCTTTGTGCTACATAAACTGTTAAATTATCCAAACGTTCAGCTTCTTCAGGAGATGTATGCTATCCTTCAACATTTTAATACTATTTATAATTTTTTAAATAATAAGCATTTTGTGCAATTTTTTACAATGTAAGTGAATGGAGATGATGTTCAGCTCCTTCAAAACTTCAACATCTTTGAAATTCAATTACTTAAGCAGACTTCATTCAAACTCAAACTATTCACAAGATTATTTAGCATACTGATAGCTTCAATTAAAGTTTCTACTATTTAGGATGCTGTCTATCTTTCTGTCTCATTCAGCTCTCAGCATTCACATGCATTTTCAGCAGCAAATGCATTTTCTAGTTTTCTAACATTTTCTGTGAATGCTGAGGCATTCACACTATTGTTATTATTGTGAATGCTGCAGCATCTTTATTATTATTCTTTTTCTTCCGTGGCAGCTAACTACTCCTTCATACTTTGTGCTACAAAGACGGTTCATATATCAAAACGTTCAGCTCGTTCAGGGCTTTCCTGCTTGTGTTGAACTTTTTTCTATTTACACTTCTGCTTTTTTTTGCCATTCAAATGAATGGAGACGATGTTCAAATCCTTGAAAACTTCAGCCTCTTTGAGTTTCAAACTACATCAGCATACTTTCAGCTACAGACTTCATTCAAACTTTAAACTGTTCAACAGTTTTTGAATTATCACAGTTTCATGCTTTTTTCATTACATTTTTGTCTTTATAATGGGTGTGCATTGCATAGAATGTTCGAGGCTAGAGTGGATGACATCATCGCTAGGGTGGGAGAAGGTCTAAAATTTTTCTGAAAAAAATCTGTGTAACTTGTCCTTACGGCTACATATTTCAGTCTTCACAAATAATTCCTTCCTCATTAGTAGACAAATTTGCCCTGTTTCATTTAAGTATCTACCTTAGCACAGAGACTAACAGAAAATTGAAATGTTGAAATTTGAAATGTGACCCTCCAAGTGATGCGAGCACCCTCAAACTCTCCCATAGACTTCAATACAAATTCAGGACATTCAACAGCCAGACTCTCTCTCTTACACACACACACACACACACACACACACACACACACACACACACACACACACACACACACACACACACACACACACACACACACACACACACACACACACACAGAAACGGACACATAGCAAGGTAGACAGACAGACGGGCAGACAGTAATGTAGATAGACACACTTTGATTCAGGAAACATTTGGCTGTTAATTTAAGTTTGAATTATAACTGACTCCACAATACATGTCTAATTGGTGGATTACTTTTTGAGCTCATTGTGATTGGTCAATTACCTTTGGAGCTCATTCTGATAGTTGGATTACCTTTAACCAGTGTTTTCAAGGTGCTACCTTTTTCAAAGAGAAAGACAGGTGGGCAGCCAGACAGATGGACAGCATTGTCACCATGGCAACCTCTGAGTGAAGGGAAGGGATATACAGCTAGGACAAATTACCCGATTAAAGACTCCTCTGATATCGGTGGTGTTTATCAACCACTTTACTGACATTTCTATCAAAATCCTGCTACAGACTGCTCCTGTTGTCACTGGAAATATGTTTCAGTCCAGTTGTAATCAGGCAGCATTCAGCAGTTAATTTCAGTTTGTCATTCTTACACGCACGCACGCACGCACGCACGCACGCACGCACCACCACTATCACCATCACCACCCTTTACTCCCACTGTGTCTTATTCTTATTCACTTATCCATGGCGTGATTTTGACAGTGGATTTAAATTTAGTTTTTTGAGGAGGAACAATTTCCAGGGTGGATGATCATAACTGACTGAAGGCAAGTAACTGGTCATTTGTATCTGAAAGAAAGGGCTGTCACAAAAAGTTTTAAAAAGTGCAGACAAAGACTGAGCTGTGTGTTTACCAAGTGCACAGAACTGGACCTTTTGCTTTAGAGGTTTTGTGGTGACTTGGGAAAACTGAATTAAGCATGATACACATTTTCACAGGTAATTAGAAAAATTTGAAAAATAATTAGCAGTTTACCGATAATTACAGTAATTGTGCATTGCAGTCCTGGTTTACATTGTCCTGTCTCTGCTCTTCACCAGCAGATAGTTTCAGGGTTCAGTAAAATCTGCTTCCTGCTTTGGATCCTATGCCACATGCAGCATAAGGCCAGATGGACTACAGCCTGTAGGAAATCAAACCTCTGAACTGCAGCTAATCATTCAGTCATCTCTGAAAAACACTAACAGAGAGGGAAGAGGGAAAAGCTTCCAGATTTCACATCAGTCCTGTCACCATAACAAAAATCAGGACTGATGTTGGCTAAGTTTTCTGTACATTAACAAATATCTCATAATAATAAAGACTGAAAAATCACTCCATATCAGTCAGTCAGTAACCTGCAGGTCAATCTGTCATCTGAGTCTACTGAGCAGCTAAGACATGAGGCTGAAGTTTGGAGTCACAAGAGAGCCATAAAAAGAATAAATCTGGAAAAGAATAAAATCAGTGTGGAAATATAAAGAAAAAAAATGCTTTTCCCCTATTGCCTTTGCTATTCCATGAAGCTGTCCATCAACTGGCGGTGGGCCGGCTTCCCTGCCAAGGCTTAATGAACAAATTAGAAAAACGTTTATTTTCTAACCATTTTAGTCTGTGGATGCCACAAACACACACAGGCAGAATGTCCTGACCTGTCAAAGCTGAATTCATGTGTGCAGGAATCCACCCTCAGCCTGGGCAGGAAAGCCCGCCCAAAGCCAGTTGATTAACAGCTTGGCCCTTCAAGGAATAGAAGAAGCATAGGGAAAAAGCATTTTTCACATTATATTTCCACATTCAATTTACTAATTTATTCCTCTTTATATTTCCACATTATTTTCTCATTCGTTTACAGACTTATTGTTTTAACAGCACTCCTATGACTCCATACACCCCAGGTTCACGCTGCAGCAGCGGAGGGGAAACAGAGGGATGTAAACGAGGCGAATGAGATGGTGAAACCATTCAGTAATCTGAGTGTTAATTCGTCCCCTCTCGACTAGGGAGAAGGTTTGTTATTGTTTTGCCCGGTGCTGTGCGTCAAGTAGGTCAGTGTTTCATGGGCGATGAAGCTTAACCCCATTTTGCAGCTGCCGTGGCAACAGTATTGGATCAGAGCCGTGGTAGAAACGCTCTCAGGGAAGTGATTGCCAGTTTAATTATTGAGAGGTGAAATAAACCCGGTACTACACTAAGCAGGTTTGGTTGCATAGCTGACAAATCTTGACAGGGTCTGTTCAGCAGCCAAGCAGCAGGACTTCTGATCTCTCCTCTGCTGGCCCTGAGTCATGGCAGAGTATGCTGGGCTCCACACAAGTGTGGACATGTCCAAGTATTTATGACAGTAAATGTGCAAGGAAGAGAGATAAAATCTATGGTTTCTCAATATGAGTTTTTTAAGTGTGAAGAAAGAGGAAGAACAACACATATAACAAGGTGGAAACAGGTCATGTGACACTGATAAAGATATCAGTTGGTGGTCAACAAATAGATCCAGTGTAATTGGAACATCTCTATTGTGGTATGTGCCTTAACCATTAGGCTACCGCATGTCCCCACAAATCAATTTATATACATAATCAATACATATGGTCAATGCAAAATGTTCTGGCTCTTGCAGCGTTTCAGAGCCTTTTAATTTGGTGAAGGGTTAAATTTGTCTACTTCTGACGTTTTAGGTTATTTCGTGCATGCTTTTAGTTTGAAGGTTCAAACAGGAAATAGAAAGAGAAAAGGGCGAGTCACAGGAAGTGAAAGTTCACTACATTTGCTATTTCTCCTGTCATTTTACTACATTATTGTTGTCGATTTGAGGTCCTTAACGTCTTCTGTGAGCACAACTCGTAAGTTTGTTCATTTATGTAGTGCTTATGACTTGTGAGGAATGTTAGATAATTTATGAAAAAACGTTTAT